ATTGATCTTATCATTATCTAGACCTTACCTATATTGTTATAGATCGTATTTTGCTGTTCAATACATCCTTATTTTCGGACCAACAATATCATATGATGAAACCCTAGGATGATTCTACATGTTTAGAAGTGTAGAATGAGGGGTTGGAAGGTGGTTCCAAGAACGGACTTATAAACCAAAATGACCGGTTCACCAGAAAATAACCTTTTAGAGGTTATTTGTACGTGTTGATTTAGGTTTTGTGATGTTAAAACGTCATTCATAAAATTTCAGACTCGAGACCGCCCAAATGACGTACTTTGACACATTTTTTAAGGAGGAAAATGTATGACCACGGGGATAATAAATAGTGTATAAAAACATGAGAGATGGTGTCAAAATATTGCACTACGTGATGATAAAAAAATAATCATTGAGTATTTTTAAGGGGAAATATTTTCAAAAATGGAAAATGTAACAAATTTTTAGAGGCCATTTGGCCACATGGTTTTTCAGCTTATCGGGCTTATCTGCCAACTTTTTCACCAAACACGTAATGTTTGATTTCGCGCGTTGAATTGTGTAATAAGCAGAAAAAGTAAGTTTGGAGTTACTTTTCTGCCTGTATTGGCTGAAGTTACTGTCGATTTTGTTATTCCTCATAAATTTCATAAGTATTTTTTGTGGCCGTTTGGTGACCCTCTTTTCGGCTTATCAGGCTTATCAACCAATTTTTCACCAAACACATACTTTTGATTTGACGCGTTGAATTGTGTAATAATAAGAAAAAGTAAGACTGAAGTTACTTTTCTAGTTGTATTAGCTGAAGTTATTGTAGATGAAGAGCTTAACTAATTTTTCATATAATTTTTTCTTTACTTTATCAATATTTTTTTTCTTCATAAATAAGCAAAATCAGCCTACCCAGCCACTTCAGCCTGAATTTCATAAATTTTAGTAGAATCGGTCGATTCATCAAAATTCAATGTTACCAAATGGGTTCACAGTTTTAAAGTATGAAGAGGTGATTTAAAAAAAGTACAGTAGGTAAATAAATCATTTTTAACTTTATAGATGAAATGTAAAGACAAAGTAGTCATAAATGGAGTATGACTTTAAAGAGTATGTTGTGTAAAATCACACATGTAGCAAGGACAACTATAGTTGAATAAGTTTAAATAATACTACCTCTGTAACGGATATATCTTCCCACTCGAGAGTATTAGTTTGATTTTAGGAATAAGTAATTTGTAATTCTTTTTAACATATTTTAACAGGAAGGAGTTGGAAGGTCAAAAGGTTTTCCCTTGTGTATAATTGCTTAAAAGAGTTGCAGAAACATGACTACATGAGATGAATGCATACTCCAGTTGTAAGTGTAAAATAAAGTATTTTTCACTTATGCAACCCATGTAATTTTTAGAGTTTCCTTCATTAATGTAGAATGGTACGTTTGTAACCTATAAAGTTTAATGTTTGGCAGCTTTTGCAATAACATGATTGTTTATTGGGAGGAGTTTTGGAAGATCAAGGATTTTTCCTTATATTGTTCCAAAAGGTTGAATCGCCAAACCCAAGCGCCCCCCACGCCCCGACCCGACAAGACTTTTGGGAGAATTTTTCCTTATATTAGTGTTGCGGGCATGTATGTGGGATATAAGTTTCATTTATTTAATTGATGTAGTAATTGTTAGATACATTATTAAGATGCCACATGTCAATTATTGTTACAAATGGGATGCCACATGTTGATTTTTCATATAAAGGGGCTGCCACATGTCAAAATTCCTTCATAAGCTTCCTTCAAGGGTTTCCTTTATTAAATTATATAGATAGATATAGATATATAGATATTTCTATCAATTATTTAGTAGGATCAGAATTCTAAAACCGTCCAATTCGGATAAAATGCTAAGTATGTCTACTAAGGATGTTTTTACTTGGACTGTAATTTGCTGGTCTGGTCTGGTCTGATCTGGTCTGGTCTGAACTGGTCTGGTCTGGTAAGGTCTGGTTTCTTTGTATTTTTATAACTATCCAAGTTTGGTCTGGTCTGGTCTGGTCTGAACTGGTCTGGTCTGGTCTGGATTGGTCTGGTCTGGACTGGGACAAATTACAGTCCAAGTAAAAACATCCTAATACTTGTTGCTGCGAATCTGCGATTCAAATACTTTTATTCCTTTTCTAGATTATAATTTATTATCACACATTCACGATTTTCCTTTTAAAATTTACGATACTATTAGTTATCAATAGATTTATTAAGTTATAATTAACTTCATGTAAGGATGTTTTCTTTTGGACTGTTTTCAGTCCCAGACCAGACCAGACAAAACTTAAACAGACCAGACCAGAGCTGACTTTCATAGTTATAAAATACACAGAGACCAGACCAATTCAGACCAGACTTAAACAGACCAAATCAGACCAGACCAGCAAATTTCAGTCCATAAGAAAACATCCTAAAAACCTAGACCTCTAGTACATCATTATTAATTATTAAGAATTTATTAGTATTTATATAAATCATTATGGTTAGCGAAATATAGTATATTGTCCATTGAGATCATATATTCTTATTTATATGTTTTTGTGAAATTATTGTTTTTTAGTTACCTTAAATATTTCATTGAAATATGATTATGTACTACATATTATTATTGGTATTCGGTAATTTTTTCATTTATAAAATAGATTCTTCATGTGACATTTTTACTATATGTAACAAGTTGTTTACATATGTGACTTTGCTTTAGATTATGATTAGTTATGTGCTTAGCTTTTCAGTTTTTACTATGTGACTACAGTTTATTTATGTGACTTTTCTGCATAGATGAAAAAGACACAAATTAAGTGTTATGCCCTAAAAATTAATTTTGTAATTTTGAATATTATACATGAACATTGATATATCATTTCATTTTGTTATGATATTTTTTTTGTTGGTTCCGCCCCAGGGTATACGAATTATAACTTGAATAACAACTTCAATACCAAAACACGTATAACGCCACTGCCTCCATAGTTCTCTGGAAATAGCCATAGTATACGAATAGCAACTTGAATACCTAATCTAAATATGCAAAGCCGAAACTGAGCTGTGTAAAATTTGTGCAATCGAAGGTTAGGTTTACCCTTTTATCAAATAAATTTTGGAAATCTAACTCACACAATGTACCTGGGGCGTCGATTGTGACATTAGAGGAGTTTCGTCAGTGTTAAAGGCCTTGTATCCGAGAGAGGAGAGTTTTCTTGTGCCAGAGAAACTTTGGAGGAGAATTAAGTTTGGAAGAAGAGTCGATGTCGTATAAATGGAAAAGATGAGGAGGCCTACGGTTAAATCAGGGTACAAATGTAATAAGGAAAATAACAAGGTCAAAAAATAAGGGCGTAGTTGTCAATATAAATCTACTTAAGTCGGTGGCTAAATAAAACATGGGGGTGCGTTTAATAAACGGCGATTAAATGGCATATCCGCTTAGTATGCCGGCATTTAAGAAACATGGAACATTTACTTCGGTCTTCTTAATGACATAAACTGCTATTTCACGTAATGAAAACTTAAGTATCATGAATTCGTGGGCTCAGGAATTCTCGTTTATTCCTCCTGCGAATGCGTTTCACAAAACCAAACCGCCCCCGCCCGATCAAGGGAATGGGAGGGGGCTATGGCCGGAGGCATGGATATGGGAAGGGGTTGTGGCGTAGTATTGAAGTGGCTGGGGTTGTGAAGGGGAAGACTGGAAAGATGAGAGGGGTTTGGGGGCTGGTGAACGGTGGCCGTGGCGGCTTAGGCTGAGTAGCACGACAGTTGTAGTGTTGGTAATGGCGGCAGGGGGTGGAAAAAGAAGCTGGAAAACTTTACGGCGGTCACATTGATGAGGCGACGTCTGCTGGAGTAACTTTAAGTGGGGGTATCATCACTGAAAAATATGGTATCACTGTTGTCGGTGTCATTGTGGTCGGTGACGGCTTCCTACCGGTGGTCACTGGTGGTGGATGTCGTGTGTCACTATCACGGTAGCAAGTCACTGTGTCATGATCACTATAACATGTTACTGTAGCGTATCACTGTAGCAGTGAGTAAATTAACAAGCTTGTTACCAAATAGTCACCGTTTTGAAAATTTAAAAAGGCCACTTTTTGTCCATTGTCCCTTTATTATTAATATTCAAGTAAAAAAAACCCAAAAAGAACCCATAATACTATTTTTAATGGAAATAAGCTATATTAAAATTAATAAATAAAACCACGTTATAATAAACTCAAGATTCAAGAATATACAAACCCCAGACATAAGTTCAATGATCAGGCTTTAACTCTACTACCCTCAAACTAGCTGCAAAAGTCTCTAATCGTGTAAATTAAAGCTTAACTCATAATACTGTTATTTTTTAAATATAAAACAGTGAGTAGTTTTTTCCAACCAAACCTAAATGACAGATTACTTAGACCAAGTACCTTGTGGTCTGATTGCATCACTACTGATTTATTAAAGATGAGATCACATGTTCGAGTCCCATTATAATCAAGAATATCGTCAATAACATGAACACATACTATAATAAATTGGAAAAATTGATAGTAGTAATCCCAACTATTGATGGTCCGCCCATAATAATCCTAACTATCGATTATTTCAGAATAATCCAAACTTTAGGGACCTTTCGCCAATAATGGTCCCTATAAATAAATTCTTGTAGTTTTTAAAGTAGATGAGAAGAGATATAACAAGTAATCCCTATAAATAATCCCAACTTTTAATTTTACGTTTAATTTATATTTAAAATTAACTTTTTATAGGATGTAATATCTGGTCATGGACCATTATTGGCGAATGGTCCATATAGCAGGGATTATACAAAAATAACTAACAGTTGAGATTATTATCAGTGAACTAGCAATAGTTGAGATTATTATTTTTAATTTTTGGTGATAAATTTAGAAGAATGTAAAAAAAAAAAAGATGAGCTCAGGCCTCAATAATAATAATAATGGTACCAAATAAAAAGAGACGGAGAAGTTCATCGCATCCCCTCCTCCCTCGAACCAAACACGCCTTTTACCTCTCCGGCCTCTCTTATGCGTATCTCTCCCACGGCGTTCTCTACTTGCTGGAAGCCAGCCAGCCCTCTTTGATATCTATCATCTCTCGCTCGCAAATACACACAGAGTAGAGCCTCTCTTATTAAATCCCCTTTGGCCTCTGTTACCCGCCAAAAGGTATAAATTTTAACTCCGTATCGCCTCCCTCCTTTTTTTCGCCCCAAATATCACTGCAGCTTAACGTTTCTTCCCTCCTCGCCCCTCCCTCTCAGGCGAAGGCCTTGCTTAGCTGATTGCAGATTTATGCGCCGGTCTCGCCAAGAACGCCATCGTTTCAGTGCACGGATCGGATAGGTGTTCTTTTCTCCCTTGATGGAATCGACTGTCGAGTTGAAACTGGGGGATGTAGGTGAGAAGAGGCATCCGGATGAAGTGGAGCTCGACGGGCTGCCAGCAGGGAAGAAGCCCAAGCGGGTTGTGGGCGGGAATGTGAAGAAGGTTGCGGAGTTGGTGCTTGTGCTGGCCGCGATGGGGAAGATGAGGGGCGGGTGGAGCCCCACTGATGCCGAGAAGGAGATGATGGTGGAGGCCAGGGATAAGTTGGCCCAGGTGTGCCAAACGTTTGCTCCCAAGGATGTGTTTCCCAGGGATGCGTTTGGAGGTTTGATCGAGGACCTTGGTCTCAATAAGCTCAACGAACAGAAGTTAGGGTTTCACCCTCCTAAGATGTCTATTGCGGAGAAGATATTGATTTGCAAAAGAAAGGTCTGTTTTTTCTCGTATTGGAGTGTATTATTGTTTCAGAAATTACATTAGTTATTTCCTTCTCCCTTCAGTCAGTGAGGCGGGATGTCCATGTTAGCCTACATTTGTACCTCTCAATAGTTAGCATCCAGCTCTGGCTATTTTTTTTCCCATCTAACTCACTAGAAGCATGCTTATCTGATTGTTATTTATGCACTCCTCATAATATATCACTTTTTTTCATTCTGACTTCAGATGGAAAAACCGGAGGAAGGACTACAATCCGCTCTTTATTCATCCCAATGCTTGCAATCACATACAGGTGTGATGGTTGAGAACCGCGGTCCACCAAATGCCACGAGAATCTTTCCAGCTGATAAAACAGGGCATGCACATTCTTCCTCTTCTTTTCAGCCAGGTTCTGCTCCAGGTCAGGGACCTAATGCAAATTCTACATCTCTACCTTACCAATTACCTACTAACGAGATCAAACCAACTGTGCACAATGGGTTAGCCCCTAGTAATGTTGGAAAAGGCACATCTCCAATGCCAATACCGCATGTTGAAAGACCACATCTCAGATCTGATGGTCGATCAAATGGCGCTTCTCATATTCAAGGTAACTTTGTTTTGTATGTCTTGAAGTGAATTGTGGTCATTAGCATTTTAAGTTCTGCGTACTAGTAGGTTCTTTCTATATTCGATTACTCTGCTGTCCCAAAACTATTTACTCAGTACCTTTTATGGTCGTACCAAAATTTTCTTCACATTTCTTTTAAGGAAAGAGATGCGTGGTGGATATTGTTTCTCTTCTGAGAATATAAATCTCGACCAAATAATTTTATTTTCTTAGTAAGCTGGCATAGTGAAACTGGAATGAAAATTTTATGACGTACGGGGAGTAACATAGAGTCTGTGTAGAGGGTGCATTGTTATCAGTAAATCCATTTTCACTACAGTTTCTTTTTCTGTATATTTTCCCAAGGATGTCTCATTGGGTAATCATGAACATGCACAGTAATATTGACCCATGTGCATATTCTGTTTCGATTTGTAATTTTTTGTTGGTTTTAACTATCAAATTGCATCAGCATCTTCTGCAGATCACCCAACCTTGAGGTCGCCTAACTGGATGATGGCACCTTCATCACATTCAGCATCTAAAGTGGGACCTGAAACTGGGGCTACGGTAACTTCAACAGGAAAAGTTGAGAGTGTTGCTGATCACAAGTCAGGGATGGTCCACCAAGTAACAACATCTAGACCTTTTATCAATCAGACTTCTTCTGGGAACTTGCCAAACATACATCAGCATATACATGGAATGAGCTTTGTCCCTGGCCTTCCTCCCAGTATCCCTCATGTTGAAGTTGGTAAGATTGTTCAGAGGTTTTTGCAACCCCATCGTCCTGATCGACCTGCATGGACTCCACCATCTAGAGATTATATGAGTAAGCCACTTACTTGTCAAATGTGCAAGTCCACTGTGAATGACGTGGACAACGTTCTTGTTTGTGATGCTTGTGAAAAAGGGTATCACTTGAAATGTCTCCAGATGACTAATCCGAAAGGTATTCCTAGGGGGGAATGGCATTGTGTTAAGTGCTTGGCACTAACGAATGGTAAACCACTGCCACCCAAATATGGGCGTGTCATGAGGAATATCAATGCACCAAAAATCTCTTCAAATGCTATAATGGCTCAGCCATGTGTTGACAAAAAAGTTTCTTGCGCAAATGAGAAGATGTCCAGTCAGCAGAAAGTGGCAGTCAATGGGAATGTTGCATTACAAAATCCTCCTACTGTTGACGTAGCAAATAGGGTTGAAAATGGCAAAGAAATGCAAGGGAATGACACAGTGTCAAGTATTAAAAGTATTGATAGTAGAACTTCTTCTGAATCGTGTCCAAACAGCACGGCTAAAGCTTCCAGTGATAATTGTGTTTCCCTTACTGGCTCATCAGCTGATAAATCTTGCCAAGAGAATTCAGTAGATTTGAAACAGCAGCCTCATGCTACAACTAATACACTGCTGTGTTCATCTGAAAATTCACATCCCTCATTGAACCTCCCAAATGTTAATCATTTACGGATCTCAAATTGTGTATATGTTTCTTCTAAACATCTTGACAATCACCTTGACAATGTTGATTTGAAGGAGTCTTTTGATAGGGACACTTTCAGTACCAATTCCAATGGTGTTGCTAATATAGGGCAGCAAGAGGTTTTAGAAGTAAATACTGCTGATGATTCTAAAGCTTGTAATGAGATCATAAAAGGCAGCAATTCTTCATCCAATTGCGTAAATATTGTTGATTGGGCCGGCAGTAAACTTCCTGTTGAAGATGAGAAAAATTATTATGAAGCGTGCCGAGTTAATGGCTGTGTCTATAGTCCTAAAGACTATGCTCTTATTCGTTTTGAAAATGATAGATTGATTCCTTCACAGATTCAGGTGAGCGGTGATTTTGATTTTTTTCAAGTAGTATAAACTATAAAGTCAATAAATTTTGGACAAGCAATAATCCATGTATATTTAGAAAAAGAATGATGTACTACTTTGTCATAGTCTCCTTTTACATTTACTGTCTTGGGACTCTTGTCATAGACTCCCATTGCAATTTTTATATCAGTCACATCCATTCCCTTGGGGAAGACAAAACGAGATTTTAGGATTTCTAGTCATTTATCTTCTTGAAAAACTTCCTTGGGCGGATGCATCTTTTTTCTTCCGTAGAGATGTGTGTGTTTTAAGTAGTGTTTGTTCTAAACTCTCATAGCCTTTTCTCCTTCCTGCGTAGCATATCAAGTAGTTTTAAGTAGTGTTTGTTCTAAACTGATGATTTATTTGGAATATATGGATTGACAAGACAGCTATTAAATTTGCAGACTATGTGGGAAGATACTAAAACTGGAACCAAATGGGTTGCTGTTAATAGGTGTTACTTTCCTAGGGATTTGCCAGCATCTGTTGGGCGGCCTTGTAGTCTGGAAAACAACGAGGTATGAGTTTATGATACCCAATGTTCTGAACCTTTCTTAAGCCACATAAATCGGTCTTTATTGGCTAGAATCTTAACGGAGCTTTAATTTTTTGAGCACATGTGGAGGAAGAGTTTCACTCTGTTTACAATTCTTGTCTACCTGAGTAAAGGAGCCGCCACACCAACGCACACACACACAAACTGAATTTAAACAGCTCTACTCAAAACGCCATTTCAAAAGCTGTATGCAGATGTGTGAAAGTCATGTATTACCTCCATCCCAAATTGATTTGCAAAATTGACTTTTCTTGGTCAAACAATTTCATTTTATTCACTTAATTCGGATGCCAACTTTAATCATATTCTAATTTGAATTTTGCAACTTTGAAGAGATTCTAATGTAGTTTCTAAATATGTAATATTTAATTATTAAAGATTGAATTAATTATTAATAGAGAGGATTTAACTTTAACATTGGTTGATAAAAAAATGTTGACTTTGCAAATCAACTTGGGACGGAGGGGGTATTAGTTTGTCATTCTTTTATGTTGTGCTTAGACTATGCAGTTTTGTATCCAAAGATTAGTGTTATTACAACCACATTTGACAAATGAGGCTTCACGACCAATTTTTTTACCCATTTTCTCTTTCTCTTTCCATCACGACCAATGTTTCACCTTCCTCAAAAGATTTGAACAGCGATTAAAAAATCTATTGGATGAAGCAATAAACAACAACAACGGAGTAACGATAGAAACTCAAGCTGTCAAAATATCACGAGACAGTGATGGATTGAGATAGTTTCTATAGTCATGTACCCATGATGTCCCATTACATGATTCATATTGTAACTTGTAAGCTCAACATTGAGTTCTTGGCAATCCTAGGGATGGGTTGAATCTTTTGTTCTTTTGCTGTAAACTCAACATGGATGTGATCTGTCTGTTTTTTTAATTGTGTTGTTGTTTTGTTCTGAAATACTACTTTCAAACGATGGTAGATATATATAGATTTGGTCAGCCAGCATCTCAGATTATACTGTCTTTGAGAATTCCTCTGAATCAGGGAATGGATGTTGCTTGACAGTTGATTTTTTATTTTATTTAGCAAATGACATCCCAAAATTCTCAGGTTAAGTCTTGAGTTCGTTTTGACTTTGATTAATTGGTGTTATATATGTTTTCCGTTCAACTATTTATACTCAAGGTACATTAAGAAATAAATTAGTTTTAGAGTAGACCATCTTGTTAGATCGAGAATATCTGAGGCCTGAAGGCTGTTACATGATATATTTCGACAGTCATCAACACTTTGTAGATCATCATTCTGGAATTATCATTGTACTGAAATATTTTGATTTCAGAATGTTTCAGCATGCCGTTTCAATTGGAGTAGTACTTGGATACTCATGCACCCCACAGACGTGGTGCACGGGCATAATTTCGCATGAACGTGTATTCATATTAAAACCTCTAATATGTTAATCAGTTGCAGAGCAGAGCGGCACCCGGGTGCTACAACGGCCTCTGTAGAGGAGCGGTTGGCTGTAGTGGAAATAAAGGCTGCTATAGTGGGCATTATAGCAGTAGTAGTGGGTGCTATAGCGATGCTATTGAATTTCTGTGTAGTCTGCGCTAGGTTTACAATTTTTTGGGTAATTTCGTTTTAAATTTTTTAAAGGGGTAAAGTAGACTTTTAGAATTAAATGTAACCACACCAAAACCCTTCCAAGTACGTAAGATCCATCTCAGCCTTTTAAGATATCATTCTTAGTCATTTCTTTTCTGGTAATTCAACGACTTGCTTCGTCAACTACTTTATACTATTCTTAGTCATCTGGACCAATCTAGGAGCTTGTTTAGCATGGAGCCTACTAGCTTGTTAAAGGCTGCAGGTGATAACCATCATCATGCCTTGCAGTTGAATTATTAGAGAGGTTCCATATGAATGTCAAGTTTGAGATTGTGAGTAATATCTTCCATGTTATGGATTTGATGTGTATTGTAGGTAATTATATTCATGCATATAATTATGTATTTTGCATACTTCCTCCGTTCGGAATTAGTTGCAACACATGGAGTTGGCACACAAATTAAGAAATACAAGGAAAGTAAAAAAGTTCCATTCATGCCCTCGTACGTACAACACATAAAGTGCTACAGTAAAAAGTTCCCAAATGCAAAGCTACAGTGAAGCGACCAGAGATCTCTCCTTGTAATTGATACTCCGTATTTTCTCCCACTCTTAGTCTCTCCGTTGATTCATAACGCAAGAGATTTCTTTTGCCGGAATATAATTACGTGAAGAGGATTCTCCGAAACAGTCGAATCTGATCTACCTCTACCAATCAAGTCTCGGAGCCCAGTAGCTCGAAACATGTTCCTGATTTTTCATTTTGGCCGGCGGAAGAAACAGAGTGCAGAAAAGGAGAGAAATTGTAAAAGACGTGTTACATTGAAAAATATGGATAGTAGAAATGGTAGTAAGAAAGAAATTGAAGACGATGAAGATATGCAAGGAACTGAGGAAGTTAAAGATAATAAGAACCAGATGTAAGAAAATAGAGATGGGTGGATTCGTAGCTGGAATAAGCTGGATGCCTACCCTTGGATAGAATGTAAAGGAAGAGAGATAAGCAGTGGGAGCAAGGAAAAACAGGATAAGACATTTGGTGGTAGGATTTAATTAAATTGATTTTAAATGGATGAGGAAGGGTATTTAAGTCTATGCAGGTATTTTTATTACCTAAAAAGGTAATGTTGCAATTATTTTGAAACTGCCATAAAAGGAAAGTGTTGCGATTAAAAAAGAACGGAGGAAGTATAAGATACCCAAATAGAGCCCTTCCCGCTATCCGTCATACTGCTATAGCGCTTTCAGGGTTGGCCTCTCTGCTCTCCTTCCGGCATTGTCAATACTGACATTAATAATAACCATTGGGGCTAGTGCACCTCTTTACTGTATACATATCATTTTCTCTCCCTTTAGGTAAATGATTTCATAAATAAAATTTATATTGTTTAGCTATATGATGAAATAAAGTTTACAAAAATGTATAAAGAAGTACAGAAGTACCTGAGTTGCGCTTTGTCTAAGAGCAATAAAGATTCTTTTCTATTTTTTTTAGTATTGTATGTTGTATTTCCTAATATTTAAATTCTATTGTGATACTCCATATTATTTTTCTTTATTGTTTGGTGGCCCCCGCCGTATATCCACCTTTTCCGGAATGAGATGGCCAAGATTTTAGGCAAGTCAGAACATAAGTGAATTTATACTGTTTTCAAATCAGAATGTAATGTTTTGGCCATTCTCGCCCAAACCAAACGGAATAAATAAACTTGATTTTTAATTTGAGTATTTGGACCTTACATAGATCAGACTAAGGGGAATTGTGTCAGATGATTACTTTATATTACGTGCTCATTTTTTCAAGGCATTGTCTTGTTATTACATGATCTATTTTTGAATATTGTTACTGATTTGATGGTCTAACATGAATGTTTCTTGTATAGTTGTATCCTGATTTTGTTGTCATCCATAACCGATATCTGTTTCAAAATTTATCATGAAGAACAAATTGACATTATATGTGCAAAAGCTATATTAAAAAAGAATTGCTCTTTGGTAGGTCTATTTGTCTAATTTTGGGAGCACAGTGATGGCTGGACTGATTCATGGTCCATGTGAAGTTCTTCCTTCAAGCAGGTTCACTGAAGAAAGAGAAAGGAGAACTCGTGCTGGAACAGAGCAAAATGATTCAGGACCGCTTTATTTGTGCAAGTATGCCCTACTGCTATATTCTTGAACATTGTTTTTGGTTTCATGTTAAGGAGCTGTAGCTAAAAGAAATGACTGGGATATACTTGCCAAAAAGAGGGGCTGATATCTTTTTTGCACTTGTAATGTGATGTGGTTGGACTCCGTAGCGGTGTCTTGCATCTTGGTTCAGCCTCCCAAAGCAAATTTGGGGTTTGCCTTTTCATTTAGCGTTACACGCTTTAGGCCTATTTAGGGTATGTTTGGGTCCCACAATATGCTATGGAAAGGAAAAAGTGTTGAGGTCATTTCTTCATATTTGGTTTTACCTTGAAAAATGCAATATGCTTAAAGTTTTTGCATATATTAGGATTTCTTACTTTTCTCTGTCTAATAGAGTAATAGACATAAAATAAGAAAAACGAGTGTCAGTAATGGGCTAAAATATGTTTATTGAGTTTTAGGCCATCTTTTACCACCACATTTTCTTACCTTTCCATTTTCCTGTTTTCTTTCCCGTGTATTTCCCATGATCCAAATAGTCCCTTATATAGTACTACGTATAAGATTAGTATTATGTTGTTGATGTAAAAAAATTGCTGCTTTTCCAAATATTAGCTACTGGTACATGGACTGGAATATGCAGCACCAGTACCATAGAGTTAACTCTCTTATAACCTACTGTCACCTTCGCTTAAAAAAAGATTAAGCATTTACCTCTCATTGTTAATTGCCTTGTCAAACTATAACCAAAATGCCTATAATAAGGATGATTAAGGGATGCATTTGCCAAGTGGTGGAGCATAAGAAGTTGTATTGTTTTAGTGTGCGTGATGAAATGCTCTTGTTTTAATTTTTCTGTTTTGCCAAATGTACCTGCAGGTGGTTTTTTGATGAAGCGAAAGGTTTATTCCGTGACGTTTCCTGTTAATTGCAGGGGGGTTGTGTTTTTGGTACTTCCTTCTGTATCAGGTATACCAATTATGCTTCTTTTATTATGCTGCTCCTTGATTGACTGAACTAAAATAAATGTGAACTCCTATTTTCAGTGAACCGGGCAGCCTGCTGTGGCTGTGTGTCTACAAGACAGGGAGTTTCACGTAAAATTGTAGCTGTAGTAGTGGTCTCAGGTAATTCTTTAGATGACCTTTGGAGTGCACTGTTCCCCCTTCATGTATGGCCGGCTTGTTAGTACAGTGGAATGTAGAAAGGCGGTAAGATTTGTGTTTAGATTAGATGCCATATCCGACCATCCCAAAAGTTCTTTTTTTTTTGGATGAATCCATCCCAAAAGTTCTTATATTGTGCTAAGGTAATTTTATTCTTTTGTTGGTAAACAGAATAAATTTCTGCTCTTATTCTTTCCTCTACAGCTTCTTAATGTACAAACTCCCAAGTTATAGGTCTGTGCCACCTAAAGCTAAATACAGCGTAGAAAATTTGGCATTTACACCCAATATTATTCCAAAATTTGAACTCTTTATTTTCTTTGACTTTGCGCTGGTCCAACTTCACTGGGGATACCAAGTCAAATATTGAGCTAACCATAGGGTGCAAGTATTAAAAAGCTCATTACTTTTGCATCATATGTGTACTTTATCATTTGATTTTGCGTGAAGAGTCTTAGAAAATAAAGCATGAGATATAAAATCAAATATTGATTAAGGTAGCGGTAAAGTGGATACCAAAATTCCTCTAAATTTTGAAGGCAAAGTTAAATTCAAACTTGGTCAAGTGTAAGCTTTAAAAGAGTTAATGGATGTGTGAAAAGATCATATAATCATACCATCACAGCTTTCAAATGTGATACGCAAATTAATTAATCATATGAAAAAATGCGATGGGTACGAAGCTGTACGATTGAAGGCAGGAAAAAGGACAAGGGACAAAGTGACAAAAACAAATGTTCAGTTTGACATGTATGCTCAATTGCTCAGGCACCAACAAATATTTTTATACACTGATAATTAAGAATAAGAAAAACGCAATATAGGCACTTTCTCTCCAATGACAAGCATTCTAGTCGATCTCTTTAAATAATAACCATCAACATACAGCTCTTACGATATAACAACAAATATATCAAAGTATGACGATGGAGAAATAAATCATTTTCAATTCGTTGTTTGTACTCGGTCACATTACGGCTGTATAATTCCGACCACCAAATTTGGGGTCGTATTGATTTCTTGTAGCTCTATGAACTCAGAGAAAAAAATCATGTGTATATAAAATTGATAAACACAAAACTAATATTGATTGAGTAGATGACCGAATATAAAGGCAAAAGTGCTACTTGTACTTGTCAATGTACATGCCCGTTTACACGCCGAGTGTATTATGACCCCGAAAAATTGAATTGTCTGTGCACAGACAATTCAAGATCACTAACAGTTCTCTTTACTAAAATGGAAATCAATGGTCTTTTCACAGATGAAGTACACTTCGCGTAAATGAGCATGTAAGCCGGTGTGTACGAGTGGCATTTTTACATAAACGATTAATATATCATACTACACGATTGAGTTAGTGCTGCTTGGCTTAGCAAATAAGTTGTGCTTTCACTTCAATCGTAGCATTTTCACAAGCGAACAACCCTAAAGTCATATAGATCTCATCTCAATTACATGTTTGATTACATGTTTGATTGAAGGATTCAAGCTGTAGCATTTGGTATTTCTAGGGATCTGATGACCCAAATGGATAACAATTGCTAGCTTCATTTTAGATTATGTCATTATCTTAGTAACCTTAGAATTTAGTCCATCGTTTAATAATGTCATTTTCTCTCTTTTAAATAAAAAATGTGTGGGTCATAATCTTCTGTATATTTTTAGGCAACGATATGAAGTATTTTTATTCTTTAAACTCCATGCTAAGAAAAAACAGTAAGAACATTTGAAAGGTACGGAAAGAGAGTAATACTAAATGGATGTGAAATACTCCGTATACTATATATAGTCTTTAACAAAAATTGAAAATATAATGTATGTTTGGATAAATGGTGACACGAGAAGTAGAGGGGAGTAGATGTATTGGGGTGGGATATATATGTCCCCTATACATATTTGTGTGTGGAGGGCAGGGCAATAATGATGAGGAAATAAAGGGCATAGTAGAAGCTGGTCAACACGTACTATGGGTACAGTTAGTGTCCTTGCGAGAAGACAACAAGAATTGGAGCAGCATTAATTGTGCCTCATAAATCCGCAACAAAGCAAATGGATAAGTGGAACACTGTCTTTTTCTGCCTTTGAATCATTTCTTCACTGAACATGCGATGAATCTCATACATGCAAATTGGAAGGTGCTCAAAGACGTACTAAATGAAAGTGAAAATGATCAATGGCTAGCTAGGGTTCTTCATCAAAGCTGCCAGCTGTACAGTAGTCTTTTGCTCAATTTATTGAGGAATAATATACGCACATACGAAGTACTCCGTAATTATTTAACCCAACCCATATTCCTTTATTAACACTATTATACGAAGTACTACGTGTATTATTGTACACTACCTTTTTCAACATCTATAAACTTTCTACATGTTCAGATGCAATTCTATATAGCACAGAAACTCCCATGAAAGAGTACGTTTCCGTTTCGGAAGTTCTATGAAAATTCTTCAAAAACTCTCCAAACAAGATTTTTTGAGAGAAAAGTTGACGTTTCTCATTTCCTGTTTCGTCATGATTTTCGTGTTTCCGTGTGACAAGGTGCGACCTAGGGAGCTATAGTTTTGTGGATGGGCTCAAATCTCAATGGCTCACGGTGAAGTCACGGGCCATTTGTGGTCGCTACAATAGTGGTAGTAATGTAATCATGAACCGTTTGTGCACATTTTTTTACATTGACATCTACGTAAAAAGAGCATATAAATGTGACTAGTGTGCAAATCAAAGTTTTTTTTAATGGCAAACACATCAGCTTATATTAATAAGGTCATAGTCCAAAGAAGTACCAATACAATGAGGAGGAGAGAAATGCCAAACACGCAAATCAAAGTTTATATACAAACATTAATGTATTAGATATTTCTGACAACAAAATTCCTGAACTACTTTCGATTTTCGTACTTTCTATTCCCTGTTAGAGTGTTCTGTCGTAGCATCCCGAAAAGCCTATGAGCGCCCTTTTTTTGGGACCAATAGTAGCATTGCCAATAGTCGGTATATCGAATGGGTGAACTGTTCACATCCCGTTTGAGAAGATGTCAAGTTGAAAAACATATAAATTGTACACATACAGAGGCATAGTTAGGGGGTAATCTAGGCCTAGACCGATCCCAAATTTCAATCTTTATTAAATTATCAGAGTAAAAAATCGTGTACAAAATCTTCCAAAAAAAACTTTGAATCTGTCCACCATATAGACTACCTTGCATACGTCACATATACACATAGAGCCCGTTTGGAGAACTCTGTTTTCGGCTTATCAGGCTTATCAGCCAACTTTTTCACCAAACACGTAACTTTTACTTTCGCCCGCTGAATTGTGTAATAAGCCGAAAAAGTAAGGTTGGAGTTACTTTTCTGGCTGTATTGGCTGAAGTTACTGTAGAGGACCATTTTAGCTATTTTTACATATAATTTTTTCTTTAATTTATTAATAAAATATATTTTTAAAATATTTTTTTCTTAAATCAGCAGAATCAGCCAAAACAGCCACTCCAGCCAGAATATCATAAATTTCAGCAGAATCAGCCAAAACAGCCGATTTTGGTGCTACCAAACGGGCTCATAATATATGATCATCAACAAGTTAAACCTTTGTATATGAAATTATTCGAATTATTTAATATTCAATTGTATATGAAATTATGATGTACTAAAAAAATTACAAGGACTAAATTATGTGTTTCATTATAAATTAATCTTTAGGATCTTCACTTAGTCGAACCCACCCCATCCCCTACTATGATCTACTCATGCGAGTTGCATTTCGACTTGTTTGAAGTTACATTCTTTATACAAGCGAGTTACATTTTCGTCAACGGAGATTACATTTGTAGCAACACGATTAACATTTCAATGCGCAAAATTTACATAATGAATGACATTGGGATAAAAACATACTACCTCATGATTATTTTACTATTTACCCACGTTATTTAATTAAAATTTTAATAAATGACATCGTTTAAGCTGTGAGAGTATGATGGTAATCATGAACCGTTCCCAGAACCGCATGAATTAATATTAATACATACTACCTCCGTGGCTCCGTCCCAAATTGATTTGCAAATTTGACTTTTCTTGATCAAATAGTTTCATTTTATTCGCTTAATTATGATGCCAAATTTTAATTATATTCTAATTTGGAGTTTACAACTTTGAAGAGATTTTAATGTAATTTCTAAATATATAAATTTTAATTATTAAAAATTAAATTAATTATCTATATGGAGCATTGACTTTTATTATTGGTTGACAAAAAAATGTTAGACTTTGCAAAACAATATGGAACGGAGCGAGTAGTAACAAAGACAGAAAGAAATTATGTTAGAAAACTTTTAATTAGGGAATCACGCCATCACGGTAGGTCCAAATAAGGAGCTTTACTTAAAGTTATTTACTACGGAGTATTTAATTTGCTATATTACTACTACGTATTATACTATTTCTATGTATATAAATTTATATAAATAAATGATGACTCTAGTACGTGTAATAATTAAGTAACGTCGGGAAATAGTAACGTTTGAAATACGTAGTACTATTCTGTATCATTGACTTGCCTATATAGTAAATTCATTATTACTAGTATTTCTAAAAACTACTCGTACTATACTACGTATTGGTACATAAAAACGTTTTATGGAAGAACATAAAAACGTTTCTTGTTTTCTTAAATAATACGGAGTAATAGTAGTAACAAATACTACTCGTTCTTAAATATATTCAACATATTAAATTTTACATTATTCACATTGTTTTTATTATATTTAAGGAAAAAATAATTCAAATATGAACAACTTTGAAGGGATGTGAAATGAACGTCCAAACTTGTGCATGTAATAAAAATACTCCAAATTTTATATAAAATTATGTTAGCACTAGGATCATATGACACTACAAAAAATCGTTCAATTAGGCACTTAAGCTAGTCACTTGTAACTTATGTGAGTACTTTCACCACCTTTCTCACCTATAGAACCAGTGAGTAAATACAAAGGGCTGAAAAAACTGAACCCATATTACCGCATCCGTCGAATAACGTACTGCGTGTTTCCTTTAATTTCGTGTTGTTTCAATTCTTTTAATTTTTTATAACTTACTCCTTTTATTCTCTTGTTTCCAAAACTACCTCCACAGCTCCACTTACCCACGTAGCCCACGCAGGCCAAGTTCAAAACACTATCAAGTTATGATAAATTTGTAAACCATGCCCAGTAGTCATCGTCTATCATTTTCTTCTTTCGAGCATGCGGCATAATTAATGCAAATTCAATTCCATGCACTTGATA